CTGACGGCAGAAGCCATACCACCGGCTCGTGCAAACCGCAGGCTTTCCCTCTTGCACACTTGACACACCTTGTCTTTCTGCCTTGAAGAGAAGAGTGCACGGGAGCCCTGCTGTTTGCACACCCTGTGGGTAGAAACCGACGAAACGGGTTTGTGTGTCGGGCATCACCACGGAGGCCGTGGGAGGGTGCGCACCCGCCGGGAGACCTGCTGGCCAAGGTGGACGGACTGTCCACACGGGCCGGCGGCCGGAACAAACCCAACAGAGCTCGAAGCCGACCCCGTCAAGACCCTGGTTTTCTTAAATTTCAAGAACATCCTTTCAATGTAAAAGAAACTTTTTTTTTTTTAGATTTTATTTATGTGACAGAGACAGGGAGAGAGGGGACACAAGCAGGGGGAGCGGGAGCAGGGACGCAGACTCCCCGCTGAGTAAGACGCCCGATGCGGGGCTTGGTCCCAGGACCCTGGGGTCATGGCCTGAGCCGAAAGCAGACGCTTGACCGACTGAACCAACCGGACACCCCGGCTCCAACAAACGTTTTAATACTTTGATCATAGTAGTGTTCTCGAGGTGTTCATTGTTTCATGATTAATACTTTTTATCTAGGGTTAAAAACCTCTCCAGGCTTAACAATGTATTTAGCAGGTACGTAAACTTGGAAACCAATGTTCTTGAAATTTAAGGAGAGACTGAGAGCGATGGGAGTGCCGCCCTGGGTGGGCCCCCGTGTGCGCTAGCCAACCCCCGGGGGCCGCGGGGAAGACCTCAGGGTGAGTGGGGGCAGCCGAACCCGGGGGCACCCCTTGCACTGGGCCCCAGAGCACAGTCCCCCGAGCGCTCTGCTGTTGGAATAGCGACGTTCTCAGGCCAGGACACTGGGCAGCTCCCCCATATCTCACGCCCGTCGGGTCTTCCCACAGGCATCTTTCTGCACGTTCTGCTTCTTTGACGACTTACAGGCTCTCCCACTTGAGCACCGCACCGGGTCCGTCCACCTCCAGTTTCACACGTCACAAGACGGGATTTTTAAAGAGGGGATTCAACTTTAAACGCACTGGAGGGAGCTTCCTGGAATCGGGGAGATTTAAATAAATCCCTTTATAGAGCAAGGAGGGACACACAAACCCGCCCCACCCTCCCGGCCCACATGGGTCTGCTTTACAAATGCGGGTTCTGTGTCCTTCTCCACGAGGCCCCCTGCACTCGGGGGCGCTGAGCGCAGGGCAGCACCTTCTCCCACCGCCCTTCCCATGTGACCCCAGCGCACACGACAGACCACGGACTGAGTTCCGTGAACTTCTCTCTCTGCACTCACTGCAAGTAACTTCTCTATTCTAAGATTTTTATTTGAGAGAGAGTGAGAGAGCGAGCATGGGCAGGGGGAGGTGCAGAGAGAGAGGCAGGCTCCCCACGGAACAAGGAGACCCACGTGGGACTCCATCCCAAAACCCCAGGATCGCTCCCCGAGCCAAAGACAATTAACTGACTGAGCCACCCGGGTGTCCCTGCAAAGAACTTACTGTCACAATCCTGACAGGCAAGGGGACGTTAGCCACCCGCATCCCACAACGGGCTTGACTTCGTACCCATCAGTTCCCCGAATTTTGTTCTGGATGTTTTTCAGTGTCGGTTTGACCTCCTCAAGTGTCCGACTGGCTCCAGGCAAAGTGGGGTTCTTGCTGGCTCTGCTGGTGGCTTAAACGCCTTGTCTAGGGACCACCCGATCGGCCTTCCTTCCTGCCCCTCCGTCTCCCCAGACAGTGGTCCAGAGGGGCATCAGCAAGTGATAAAACAAGAGGTTCCTTGCAGGGTTTTATCCAAGGATCCTGCCGGCTTGGGACAGCGGCCATCGTCCCTCGACCCGCAGACAGCCGCCCAGGAGGGAGGGCTGCATGTGTCCCCAGCCCGGGCCGTGGCTTCCAGCAGGGACGGCTTCCGTACGGTCCCAGCATACAGAGCAGCCCCTCGGAATAAAGAGCTGCTGGAAGAAGCAGCTTCAAGGACTCCGAGTGTGTGCCCCGAACGGCCTTAGAAAGAGGGTTGTCCTAAGTCCGGATCCCACGTGAAGCAGTGGCTTTCATTCCAGAAGGACTGGGGCTCCTCTCCGTTGCACCAGGCTCTGCCCCACGCCTGATGCTCCCGAATGTGGGCCTCGTGGTCGTGGGAGGAAGTCGCCATGGGCCCGGCTGGCCGCCAGCGTGGCCGGAACCGAGCAGGTTAATTCTCCGGAAGCTGCGAGCGCCTAGCGGGCTGTCAGGGCTGTGAGTCGTGGCCGCATCGTGTCGCTCCGTGTCGGACTCTTGGCGCTCTGTGCCCGCTGAGACCTCACCCCAGCACGGAGCCTCAGACTGGGGCAGGGCGGCGCCGCGGGCTCCTGGCACCGGGCGGCAGGCGCGGGGAGCAGTCCCGCAGGCACCTTCGCGGCCGCCCCCGCCCACTGGAGAGCAGCGCCGCGCGCGTGGGGAACGAATCCCTCTGCCTCTCGCTCCCTGTGCGCGGAGCCTTTGACCCCCTAGGCTGGTGTCTTAAAGAAGCCCGTTTCTGTGCGCTTATCCCCCCAACTCGCACGGGGGCCCCGAGGGCCCGACCTACCCTGGGAAGACGAGGCAGCGGATCCTCAGGCCGTGGCCGCCGTAGGGGCACCACAGGCCGTGGCGTCCCTCCCCGACCGCTGGGCTCCTCTCTTCTCCATGTCCCCGTTTGGTGGCGGGCAAACTCCTCTTTGTTTCAGATGCTCAGACTCGGCGGTTCCCTTTATTTCTACTCACCGTTTCTGGTCCATTGAGCTTTATTTTCCTTACTTACAGATTCGTGAACACACAGTGTTGGTTTCTGGAGTAGAATTCAGAGGTTCGTCACTTACACGCCCAGTGCTCACCCCCGCAAGGGCCTCCTCACTGCCCGCACCCGTGCCGCCCATCCCCAGCCCCCAGTGTGATCTCTGTCTTCAGGAGTCTCTTACGGTCCCGTTCCCGCTCTTCCTCTCTTCCCCCCTGCCCCTACGTTCATCTGTTTTTGACAAACATTGTTAAAATGTCTACACTACCCAAAGCATCTACACGTTTCACGTAATCCCTATCAAAACACCACCAGCGTCGTTCACAGAACTAGACAAATCCTTAAATGTGTACAGAACCACAACAGACTCCAAACGCCCAAAGCAACCTTGAAAAAGAAAACCAGGGGCGCCTGGGGGCTCAGTCAGTTAAGCATCTGCCTTGGGCTCAGGTCCTGGGATCAAGCCCGGCATTGAGCTCCCTTCTCAGCGGGAAGCCTGCGTCTCCCTCTGTCCCTCCCCCGCTTGTGCTCTCTCTCTGTCAAATAAATAAATAAAATATTTTTCAAAAAAGAAGAAAAGAAAAAGAAAACCAAAGCCGGCGGCATCACAATCCCGGACTTCGAGCTCTTGTTACAAAGCTGGGATCGTCGAGCCAGTCTGGTACCAGCACAAAAACAGACACACAGATCCACAGGACAGAACAGAGGATCGTGGGGTCCCTTAAAACAAATCGCATTTATTGTGGCCTCGTCACACCCAAGGAGACGCACGTCCAGAACTTGACCCCTGTCTTTTCCTTGGATGAGTTTTCTCCGAGGACCCCAGCTGCCGAGCTCCCCAGGGGACCGTCTGGCTATTCCAATAGGGGGATTTCTTCTTGCTGTGAAGGCCCTGGTGTAACGCTTGGGGAAACTCGGGGTGTCCCCGTTCCTGCTAGGACGGTGCCCCGTGTCTGGAAGGACTGCCAGCCTAGTTCCCATAAGGCCAGCACTTTCGCTGCAGGCCTCAGCGTGCTGAGTGCCGTCCCCCATCGTGTCTGCTCAAGGACCAGCTGGGAGAGGGAGGGCGCGGGGGCGGTGGCCCCAGTGCCCACCTCGCGCCCTCTCTGCCCGGCTCAACGCACTGTGCTTGGGAAACATCACAGGCCGCTCAGGTTCCGGCTAAATAAGCCCCAGAACTTGAAAAATTACCTTTGAAACGTCCAAGTTCGTGGTCCTGGTTCTGTGCCCAAGAGGAGCAGCATGCTCACGTAGGTTGTGCAGACAGAGACGGCCCGTTGGGGCCTCTCGCCCCTCTGCCTGGTGCAGGCTGACAACGACCGCGGCCACGGGCTGTGTGACCAGGGACAGGCTGTTTCACCGGGACGAGCCTCGGTCTCCCCCGCGGGGTGGGGGGGCCGCTCCCACTCCCCTGTGCCCTGGTGACGAGCCGAGGTGACGCTTGGAACACGGCACCCGTGTGGTACGTGGGTCCTTCCACCTTGGAGGCAACCACGCCCTCCCAGTTCCCACATTTTGCATCTGCGTGTTGGCGGACGTGTCCTGGCGCCTTAAACTGTGAGAAGCTTGTGGGCTTGGACCCCGCGCCGTTCCTTGTCTACTAAGACACAGAAACAAGAACTCACGTGGAATTAATGACAAGGTCAAAGTTTCAAACCCAAATGGTATTTCTGTGAAGCCGGGGTCACCTGCCGTGAGCCCGACGCTGCCTGTGGGGAGGGTCTCTCAGTAAAACTGCCGCGGACACACACAAGGGCATCTCCGCCTTATCTTACTGTCCGAGACCCTCACCAGGAGCTCTACCTTTCGATATAAGACGGAAAGGATTTATTAGTCTAATTTCTCATTACGTGGAATTTTTTTAAAAACCTACACAATTGAAATTAAAGCGTATATGCTTCTATTTCTGAAACGTCCTGTTAATGCCACACACACACACACACACACACACACACGAGGCATCAGTTGTCGTCTCTGACCGCGATGACTGTGGGAAGGACCTAGCAGGCGTCTGACAGCCGAGTCCCAGCCCGCGTTCCTGTGTGAACCCGCAGAAACCAGCGCGCCGCGTCTTTCCGGATGAACGCGGCCGTGGCGGCTGCCCGCCTGGCCCGTGAGCGGCGAGTGTAACGGGGCCCGAGCCGGAAGGGAGCCTGGTGCGCGTGAGGGACAGCGGGCGCGGGCGCCAAGTCTGAGCCGACCTTTGTGTGTCGTTGCAGGCGCCAAGGAGATCGACATCGCCGCGACCCTAGAGCACCTGAGGGACCAGAGACCAGGCATGGTCCAGACGAAGGTACTGTCGGCCAGTCCTCGGGGACGGGGGAGGGGGGAGGGGGTGTCTTTCTGCAGGTGTTTCCGAGCAAGGAGAGAGGAGAAGGGGACCGAGCGGGGCCCACACAGGTCCCAGGTGGGACTCAGAGGCCCCTCCCCGGAGGCTGGCCTGCGGTTCCAGCGGCCACCCGCATTTCAACGTAAAGACACGGTGGGATCTCCAGGCTTTGGAGCCCTCCCCCACCAGACTCGGGGACGGGGGAGAGCATCACATTTTTATAACAAGAACTCCGTGACGGGGACGCCTGGGGGGCCCAGGCAGTTGAGCATCTGACCCCCAGTTTCCACTCAGGTCATGACCTCAGGGTCCTGGGATCGCGCCCTGTTGGGCTCCACGCTCAGTGGGGGTCTTCTCGGGATTCTCCCTCTCCCTCCGCCCGTCCCTGCTGTCTGCTCTCTCTCGTTCTCTAAAATAAATCTTAAGAAAGAGGTCGGTGATAACCCCAGCACCCTTGCAGGGGAATGTTCTAGATTCACCAAACACCCTGCCAGACTCTCCTGTTTCCGGCCCTCAGAACCACAGCTCTGCTGCGTGGCCATCGAGCGGCCCCAGGCTGGACGCAGGCCCCCGGCCACCTCACAATGCCTGATTTGCCTACTGAAACGGCCACACTCGCAACGAGAGTGAGCGCAAGCTACCTGGCTGGCGTTGGGTTAAGCAGAGCTAGAAATGGGATGATTTAGCGTTCGGAGTTACCTGGGTCCGAGGGGCACGGACGCTCCCGCGCGTCAGCTCCGTAACGGTCCCGAAGTCATGAAAAACAGAATGTTGCCCTTCTCGGGGTGGTCCCGACCCCGATGCCGCCAGCACCTGCACGGAGGCCACAGGCACCGAAGGACGCCCTCGCGGAAGGACTTCCTGACGCCCACGAGGACCGCAGTCGTAAAAAGCACTCGTGTGAAGTGGGTCTGCCCCGAGCACCCTGCTCTTCACCCCGTCCCACTGGGGGCCGCACACGGGCTGTCCTGACCATCACAGTTGATTCGAGTGAAAGGATTTCATCCGTCATGACACACTTTGTTCTCCCGGGGCTTTTCTTTAATTTGAAATTTTGAAGTTATTCCAGACCTGCAAAACACTTGCAGAAACAATCCAGATCCTTCTCCTGTGCCCTCACTAGGGTCCCACTGCTAGCAACTTATGCAACCCCAGGTGACCGTGGCCAGGAACCGGCGCCAGTCTGAGCCCTTTATCCAGGTGCAGACCTTGTCCCAGCTCCTCCGTGTCCCCGGCGACCTTTCCCTGGAGCAGGACCCCCCATTGCACTCTGTCATCCCACCTCCCACATCTCCCCTAGTGGGACAGCTCGGTGGCCCAGAGAGGTCCTCCAAAGGGAACTGGCAGGTGTGACTCAGTCTGTCTGCCCTCCCTGTGACAGGTTCCGCTTTGCCCCTCAGGCAGGACCATCTCAGAAGGAGGTGAGCTTCGGCCACTCGACTCGGGGTGTCCACCAGGCTACTCTCCTTGGTAATGAGCAGTGTCCTCGGGGAGAGCCTTGGCATGGCTCATGTGTCTCTGTTGCCGTGCTCTATCACGCTGTCAGCAGCGACAAGTACCTGCAAGTTTGTGCCTGGGGAAGGTCCGTCCCACGAGCCTACCCTTGCCACTTGGCAGTGGCCTCATAAGGGCCAGCTCAGCAGGGTCAGTGCACTGTCCCTGGATGGTCTGGCCCCACCAGGCCACCAGCATCCACGGAGGAGGCTGGGTGGGGTGGCGGGGGTGCTGAGAACCGGGGCCTGGTGAGCAAAGACACTTCCTAACCGGGAACAAGAAATGAATTCTCTCTCGCCTGAATCTCGTGCCGCATGGATAACCTGCAGGAAATCATCAGTTCGAGGCCCCCCTTGCTCTCTGCACCTGGGTACCCCCCAGGCAGGCTTCCTCCACCCCAGACGGCTCAAGGACGCCCAAAACGCAGACTCCAGAGTGGATCTGGGCGAAACCGTGGGGACGGTGCCTAACACACCCCAAAACCCATCGGCCCTCTTGTCTGTGTCCTGTTTGCCAGAATGCACCTCGTGGCACGAGGTCCTGAGGCCCAGGGGGTGGCCCCCAGGCCTTGCGGGAAAGGGAGATGAAGCAGGCAGCAGAGAATCGGCCTCGCGTAGCTTCCCGGCAGGACCCGACCCTCTTCCTTCGGGTCAGCGTTCAAGAGTTGTCTCGAAGTGTGTCCGTGAGTGCAGTTCCCGGAATCTCAAGGCATAAAGCAACAGGCACACCCAGACCCCCGTCCGCCTTAACTCACGACGGCTTCGCCCAGCCCTACTCCACGAGATGGGCGTCCCCCAAGTTCAATTTAACAAAAGGTAAATTTCTGTGGGAAAAAATAGTGTCACGTAATGTGAATACTCTTCTGTCGAAGCCAAGAGAAGGTCGCCTACGGGCGGTTCACGCAAACACATGTGGTCGGACTGTGCCATGGGAGCCGAAGACACGGAACAGGGGCTGGCGGGCACCTCACCACCAGGACTGGACACCCGGTGTCACCCAGCGGTGACGGTGACCGGACACCCAGCCCCAGCGCACAGCCTGACCACACAACTCTATCTTCACGTTCAAAAAACCCGAAAGCCGCTTCTCTACCCGGAAGCAAAGCCTCGGTCCAGCAAGGCCCAGACGCAGGCCGCGTGTCTCCCCGGGGCGGGAACTGGCCACGGAGCTGGCGTCGGCCGCGGGCACGTCCTGTGCAGCGGGGTCACAGCCTGTGAGACCCGAGCCGAAGGAGAGGCCACCCGAGGCCCTCACCGCACATTTGTCAGGAGTGTGCTAGGACGCGCATTCCTAGGAAGGGAGATGCAATCGCGGACACAGTGAAAACAGCACAGTCACGGGGTGAGTGATGTCTCGTCTTCTACGCCTGCTGTGGGACAGACCCTGTCTCTGTGCCCTCATCTCGTGAAGGTGCCTCCTTAACCGAAGGCCTGAATGCTCTCTAACGACACTTTCTCTTCGATGTTCACTTTCAAAAAGAAAAGCCGACTGACCCGGTGTCCCCAGGAAGGACTGACGTCGCTTGGCCCCGGGTGGGTGTGCACGGGGTACACGTGGGCTGCCCACACCTCCTGCCTGCGCCTCTCTGGCCCATCTCTGCATTCGGGTTTCGCCCAGTCTGTGATCTGCTCCACAAGCCTGTCCCCTACCTTGCTCAGGGCCGGGAGCAACAAGGACTGATTGAATTAAGTGTACTCCAGCTCACAGCCCCAGGCCTCCCGACCCGCGTCCTGCTCTGTGAGAACCTGGAGATGGTTCCCCTAAGGCGCTGTGTCTCTATCCCCCCCGCAGGCAGGTGTGCATACCTGTGGGTGTACATGTGACCATGTACGTGCACGTGTGCACACGTGTGCACACCTGTGAACACGCACGTGTACGTGTGTGCGCACTGTGTGCACACATGTGGCCGTGCGCGTGCACGTGTGTGTACCTATGTATGCACCGTGTGAACGTGCACCGTGAATGTGCGCACCTACCTGTGTGCGTGCGTATAAACACACGTGTGCGCACTGTTACGCACACCTGTGTGCACTCCTGTATACGGGTAGCACACATTCGTACCAGTGTGTACACACGCACACACAGGAACACACACACTCGTGGGTGTACACGCACACGCGCACGTGTGCACCCGGTCCCTTGTCTGCTCTGACATCAGACGCAAGGACGCAGCAGGGCCGGGAGGAACAGCTGAGCTGAGGGCCGGAGCGCGTTCCGTCCCGCCCCCACCTTGAGGGGGACGCGGGAAAGCACTGCCAGGAGGGGGCCGTCCGCACTGCATGCAGGTGGCGGCCCGGGACAGGCGTTCGCTGCGACCCCCTTCAAAATCAGTAATGAGGACAGTACTATGGCAATGTTGTGGGTCCCCCGAGCCCTTTGTGTGAGCCTCGGGGATCGCAAACACGCATCTGAGTGTGACTATAAATGCCCACGCACACGCACACGCACACGCAGCCGCCCCGAACGCCTCCGCCGACCCTTGCAGTCACCACAGCACAAGTGCGTCACAGGCTGGGTCTGCCCAGCTTGTCGGCTCCCGGGCTTCGGAGAGGCTGACGCAGGCCTCTCAGCAGAGGTGACGCCGTTGAGATGCGGGTGTGCACTCCGTGTGCACCGGTGGACGGAGACCAGAGCACGCGGCGGCACGGCCACTCGCGGCTGCTTCTCCAGGAAGGTGCAGGCCGGACACGGGGCTTGTCCTCGCTGACTGGCCCCGAGGTGCAGCGCACAGCACGCCTCTGCCAAGGGCCCCTCGTCCCAGGAAGCCCCCCTCTCCTGCTACCGGTGTGCCCAGAGCTACTCCCGTGGTGGGACTCAGGGCCGTGCCAACCCCCACCGTGTCCCGCAGGCCCTCCTGCTCCCGGGGCCACCCGAACCACCCAGTAAGGATCTAAGCCTGTAGACGCATCACGCGTGCTACAAACATGGACTGTCTGATGAGGGCAATCAAGGCACAGGGTCACATATGCCGTCTGCTTTTGTCACGGACCCTGTAGCACGTGTTACCCCAACCGGGTCCTCCTGACGGCCACGGAGGCTTCCCAGTGTGTGAACTTGCCGCCTTCGCCAACAACGCTATGTCCCGGGATGGGTTTTCAGGGTGTCAGAAGCCGTTGCAGGCACAAGATCCCAGACGTGAGTGTTCCAGAGTCTCCGTTCGTCTTTGCACATTTCCAGTCATCACGAAACCCTGCTCTCCCCTTCGTCAAGCCGGCGACTGGGGAAGAAACGGTCTGGTGTGACTGTTCGTGCGTCCTAAACTGGGTCCTCCCGAAGACGTGTCCCCCTGAACAGGCTGTTACCCGGAGAGACAGTGACAGCAGACAGCTTCCTGTCCCCAGTGACGGCCAGAGGCCACTCCCCTGGGATCTTCGAGCGTGAGGAGGGACACCGGGCGCATGGGGCCTGCCTCCTGACGCCAGTGCTGCACCGCGGCAAACTCGACGGGGCACCCCTGTGACGGCAGCGTCCAGAATGTGCGTCAGGAGGCTGCGTGCCCACTAGCAAGGTCGCCGTGCGGGTCCACGCGGGTCAGTCCTTCAGCGCCAGCGCAAAGAGAACACCTGGCGACAGTCTTTGGTCCCACAGTGAGCGCTGAAGTATCCCACCGTCTGTCGTTCCTGCCGCTTACCCGGCATTCAGAGTCAGTATTAACCGTGATTTCCGGATCTGCGGCTGCCTCCCCCTCGAGTTCTCCCGCACTGAAACCATCCATAGGGCTTCCTTCACCAGAAGCTCTCCGGAGGCAATTGTGTGTGCCACTTATTTTCCCTGTGACCTCCGGGATGACTGCGAGTTTCCCGTGCAGCGGCGGGCGCGTCGTGTGACACGTGCAGGGGGGTGGCCTGTGTGCCACGTGGAAGGGTGGGCTTTGCTTCCGACTGCCGAGAACACTTCCGGAGAACAGCCCTGACACCGCCCTCACTTGCACCTCCTGGTCTTGGCAGGTTTGCGTGTGAGACGGCATGTCCCCTCCAGCGTGTGCCTGTGACCGGGAGCACATGTGTGCACGCACATCTACAGCTGGACATGCCGTGGGGAGGTGGGGCTTCCCGGCAGGTGCAGCAGGGTGGGGCCCGGCTGGACGCTAGGTCAACGGCCATGAGAGCGATGACTCTACCCTCTGCCTTTCCGAGGGGAGGCCATTCGGCTGGCCCCGCGGCAGCTGGCATGGGGTCTGGAGCTCGGAGCGGCCGGGGTCTGCGTCTGCCCTGGGCCTCAAGGGCTGGGCACTCTGCTGTCCCTGTGCAGTCAGAAGGGACCAGGCGGGGGCCCCTCCGTGACAGAAGATGAGCAAGAAACCCTAGTCACCATGAACACGGGATCTCGTTGTACAAACCGTCCGTCCTCTCCTTTCCAGGGACATAGGGGGCCTTTCTTTCCTTTCGTGAACCGTTTCTTTCTGCAGAACACCACAGCTGAGCTGGAGGCTGGAGTCGAGAGGAACACGGTCCCACTCACTCTCCCTTTCTCGTCCCTCCAGGAGCAGTTTGAGTTTGCGCTGACGGCCGTGGCGGAGGAGGTGAACGCCATCCTCAGGGCCCTCCCACAGTGACCACCGAGGCCGGGAGCGGCCCGCACCCGTGACCGTCGCTGCGAATCGCGATGCCACTTAGCTGTGCGCCTCCAGTGTCCCTGTCTCGTCGGCACGGCCCCCGGTTACAATGTGCATTCCTGTTCACCCAGATCATGCTAAGGGGAGATTTGTGGGATCATCCAATCACAGGGACAGTCACCGTATCTGTTTTCACTTCCGTAAAGCACACCTCCACGCTCTTATCCGCAAACAGTGTCGCAGCAGTGACGCAGGTCTCCCCGGAGAGAGCTGGATCCTGGGCTGTAGCTTGGGGGGATGGGCCAGCTGGGCGGGGAGAGGACGCAGGGAAAGCCGGCGGCAGGGGAAGTCCGTGAAGACCGCCGAGCGCGGGAAAGACACTTGGCGTTTGTCTGGGAGGGGCGGATCGGCGGGAGGGGCCCGGCTCCTGTTACCCTCACCGTCCACAGCTTCGGGGAAACAAGAGGAACACGGTCCCTGCCTCTCTCCTCTGCTCCCATGCGGGCGACACCACCCCCGCGCTGTTGACAGCCCAACTCCGCCCTCCGCCCCCCAAAGAAGGGCTGGGTCTCTGGGCACACAAGCCCAGGCCAGCCGCCCCGGGGAGGCTTCACATCGCCCACCAGTTTCGAGCCGCATTTTTAACTTTAAAGTCCAGACCTGCACGTTGCCAAAGCCGCTCCCGCTAATCCACTCTCCTTGGGGACGACCGGGACTGGGGGAGCGGCCTGGCAGGTAAGGAGCTCCGGGGTCCCTGGGGAGCCCACTGGCCCCCGCAGGCACCTGTGCTCCCCTCTCGGGGGATGTCCTGGGCCCTGCCGGCGTCGAGAGCAGCCCCTGGGCTCCCTGTTTGCAGAAGGAGATGCAGGGTGACGGGCGTTGCTGGCTTTACTGGGTGTGAGATCCCCGCAGCAGGAGAAGAGTGGAAACGGCAGCATTTTCTGGGCCTCCCCCCGGGTCACCTGGGTCAGACACGGGTGTGACTTGAGTGTCTTGAGGGGATTTGAATTTGCCACCCCCCCACACACCCTGAGAGAGAGGAACTCGTGTCGCTGGAACCACAGCTTCTAAGAAGACAGGCTGCAGCTTTTGTGATAGGACTCGGTGTGGGGAAACCCGCGGTAGCCTTCCTTGCCTGCTGACCCCACACATTCTTCCCGCCCTGAACAGAGTCTGCCTCCCAGGACCCAGCAGCGTCCGCGGCCTGTGCTGGGGAGGAAGAGGCCAGAACACTGTGTGCGTCTTTAAGCGACACTCTCGTGCCATCTGCTCTCATAGATCCATGATTTTTTGCGAGTTGTTTCTCCCTATCTGGAATCAAAATAATGAATAGAAACAAATTTATCTGAATATAGGAAGCATATACCTACTTGTTATTTCTAACTTCTGATGTTTCAAAAAATCCTCCAGTGTGAGATATATGAATATATTTAGTTGTGTCAGATTAAACTTTTGATTTCACATTCGAATGGTCTTTATTTGGGGAGGACAGAACAACTTTCCCTGCCGTCCTCTGCTCCTAGAGGTCCGGGAGCAGGTGGGAGCCTTTCCAAGAGGTCTGCCTTAGCAGGGTCAGCGGTGTGCCAAGGCTAGAGCATCCCAGAGACAGGACGCAGGATCTCCGTGACCAGCCGGGGCCGTGCTCCGTGCAGTGTCCCCACGCCCCCTTCCCGTGCCCATCTGCACGCTGTGAGCTCAGGGGCAGTGGCCGGTGACCCTTCCTTCCTGGGCCTCAGGGTCCCACCCCTCCTGGCAAACAGCCCATCCACGCACATCCAAGTGGCCACCCCGAAAAGACACACGTTCACTCGGGAGTCTCACCTGACAAGGGACGGGCGGCACGGGGTGGGGCGCTGTGGCTGGTCCTGTACCGCCTCAGGGACCGCAGCGGCGCGGGAGGCGTGTGGAGTCAGCTGTCATGGACTCAGGTCCCATCGGCTTGAGGGCCTCAGTGTCCCCCCATGCGCCGGTATGCTCTTCTCGGGAGATCAGCCCGCCCGGTCTCGCTGGACGGACACCAGTCACATCTGTCTCTCAGACCCCCCATCTGGAGTCGGCCTCATGGTCAAACCCGCCCGGGCTTCGGTGGACTGTGCCGCCGCTGCCGTGAGTCACTGACACTGCGGTCACTGGTCCCGCACACGCTGCGCTCATCACACAAGGGAGGCCTCTCATGATAAGCCCACGTCCGAATGCGCCCCTGGCCGGCCCCAGGGCCTTGGTTATCCCCAAGGAAAGGTCCCCTCCCGCCGTGAATACAGGAACGCCGGACAAGATGTGCTGGAAACACGTGCTGCATGCCAGCTCTGAGGAAAGGACAGGAAGGAACCCGCCATCCGCGTGGGCGAGTGTGGACGCCAAGCCGCAGGAGGGCAGGGGGCCAGCTCTGAGCCCCGGCTCTGACCCCGCACAGGTAGCCCCAGGAGGCGCTGTGCTGGAGGGTGGCCATAGCCGGCTCTCTGCGACCGTGCACACGCGGAGACGTGCTGAGCCTGTCCTAGGACGCACACTCGGCCAGTCCACGGTCGTGACACAGCCAGTCCTCCTCGTCATCCGGGCCACGGAGCCAAGGGCTCCCCATGCCTGCCTTCCGCGTTCACCAGCATCAGTAATCTCCTCCCCTGGATGCAAACACCCCCAATGAGGAGTGACTTCGACGAGGGGTGGGCGGTGAGTGACCAGGACGGGACCGGGAAGAACGCAACTGCTGGGTGGGAACAGGGACTCAAAGGAACTAGCAAGCGGCCGCCTGTGTGTTGACAGAAAGTTTCTGTGCGTACAGGGCACTTTCTATTAGCGACTGTATCTGACAACCAGTTCACAAAATCCACGCCATCCCACACCGTCCGCGACACATCCCCGCCCGGAACGGGGCCACCACGGCCGAAGTCCGGAGACCGGCCAGCAGGCCCCGCGGTCCTGCTGGAGAAGAAAGGCGTCAGGAGAGGGGGTGGGGGCCAGCCCACCCTGCCCACGTGGCACAGGAAACCCAAACCAAACAAGCAGGTTCAAAGGTGACGTGAGCCCGGTGGACCCTCGGGCGCTGAGCCTCAGTGAAGGCAAAACCACACGGGCGGGCCAGCAGCGTCCACAGAGGAACGCGCCCCAAAGGACTGGACTAGCTCCCCATAAACCACCGCAAAGCTGGGGGGAGAGGACCGCGGCAGGGCAGGGACCTCCGAGTCGCACACAACACGATGCAAAAGGCAAGGAGTTCGAGCTCACCGAACCGCCCGTCAGAACGGGGCGGGGGAGGAAGCCGATTCGAAAAAGAACCCAATGCAACGTCTTTTCTCTTTTTTAACTATTTATTTATTTATTTATTTATTGGGGTGGGGGAGGGGCAGAGGGAGAGAAAGAGAAGCCTCACGCAGACTCTCCCGACACCGCGCTACGTCAGGACCCGAGCAGAAACCAAGAGTGGAACACGGAACCGACTGAGCCCCCCAGGCCCCCCGACACAGCTTCAGGGAGTGAAATCCAAAGGGAACGGTTACCTAGACCCCGGGACGAATGCGCTCGCGGGACAAGCTGTGCTTAAGGTCTCGGGTCCAGCCGCAGGCTGGGAGCCTCTGAGGTACCAGCCGCGACCGGTCCGCAGGGCTGAGGACCCAGTGAAAGAAAGTGAGCGCCAGGCGTTCTGAGCCGGCGCGGAGCCAGCGTTCTGGGAGGAGGCAGAACCGGGGCCAGGCCCCCTGCAGAGCCTTCGCCCCACAGCTTAGGGCACTCCCCACCCCAGGGCCCTGCAAACCCGCTCCGACCCCAGGTGCCCCCACTCCAGCGGCCGCGGACACCTGCTGGAGGTCCTTGGTACCATGATGGCACGTCCTTCTGGACTGACCTGGGATGCGCGTCTCCCAGCCACAGGAGGGCTTTCTTCCCCGACAATACCCAGCATGCAGTGTGCACCAAGTGTTTACTCCGACAGAGGGGCTGCAGCCACCGGTCCTGAGGGGCCTCAAGATCACATGGAACACGGGGACAGTTGGGGGGCTAAGGGGGACAATACGTGCGCTCCTCTAGACCCTCACCAGGGGGCAGCGAGCCCGGCACGGAGAGGGGTCGGTCACCCACCTTACAGGAGGCTCTGAATTCATCCGGACACACGCAGCGGCGCCGAACGCCCACCCCTCCCCCAGTCGCCCCCAGAGACCAAGTCTGCCATGGTTCTAACTGTCCCCCTTCCAACACCGCGGGCTTCACCAGGAAGCGATTCCGGGATGCGTGAAATTGTTGCTTGAGACTGTTTCTTTTTTTTAACAAAAACTGTTAGACGTACTCTTACAGGAAGAAAACGGAAGAGCTATGCACTGCACTTCTGTAACCCGAGTTACATTGAGAATCACACAATGCCTCTCTTCACAGTGAGCCCCTAAATCCGTGTTCAGGGCTTTGCAACTGGGGTCACCACAGATCCTTGGAAAAAAACCCGCGTGTGCTCATACGTGCACCTGCTGGTCGCTCAAGTCCTGGGAGCGTGAGGGCTCTGGGGTCACTGCCTGGCCCACTTGTGCCACAGTCAGCTCCGCTCCACAACGGCCCTCACCCCTGCCTCCCACAGGCAGCCGCAACCCATCCTTCCCGGCCAGACCCGCTCGGCACCTTCTCACCAGCGGCCCGGGCTGGTCAGGACCGCACAGTTTTCCAACCTCTGCTGAAGGCCTGTGGTCATGGGGGCTGGCACAGCCCTGTCCACTGACACGGAGTCCACTTGTCACCACGCCCTGCCGCCAGGGGTGGGGCATCCTCGCGCACAGTGTCCGCACCGTGTCCTCACCGCTGTCTCCGTGGCAACAGGAGCATCTACTTCTCTAGTGTGTCCAATGAGGGCGGCAGGTCACAGTGCCCCTCCCCACACCGGGCCCACCTTGCACCAGGGGCCGGCCCAGGGTCTCCCCCAGCTGGGGCCCCTTGGGTGTAGGAGGCTGCGCGTTTCTTGGAAAATCACCTTCAGACTTGCGAAGAGCTATCCGCGAACTGTCAGCTGTCTTTGTCGCCGT